TGCTTGATGCTTGTTCATGGTGATGGTATTTTTAGGCTATCGGATTTCTTTGAATGTATTTATGTTAGATTTTTAATGTTTTAGATAGAAAACAATCTGATGAAACTTAAATACAAAAGACAACTAGGAATAAGTTTATAATAAGCTACTAGCAAATTCGTCAAATTGATAATTGTATTCGCCTATCCGTTTTGTTATGTTGATGTTTTCTTGGCTGCATTGTCTAATAATATTCAAAGTAATTTTTAGAGCAAGTTGTGATAAGGTTATTCAACTTTTATCACTCAGCCTCTTGTAAAAAATGGCAGTTCAAAACTGTACTACATGTCTACATCTGAATTACAAAACTTAGATCATCAGCTAGGCTTTGCAAGGTCTTCCGGCTAAAGACTCACATTGATGTCATTTGAGAAACAAAGGGGAAAAAGGCAGTTCTGACGAATTATTCATTGGTGTCTATTGGAATGCGGGAACTTCTCTTTTCTTGGACGTCCTTTTTCTCCTACTAAGAAATAGTAACTCTCTTGACTCTTAATCTGTAATTCAATTTTGGTTTTTTGGGGTAATCGAAAACATGAATTTTAGAACCATTTGTATGTCAGCACCAACTCATCCTCTTTGTGTTTGATACCCCTTCAGTTAATGGCTTTTCCTGCTTGCTTCTGATGCAAAATTCACCTCTTCTTGTTACTCTGACGTCCACATCATGCACAATCTACTCTTAATGCTAATGTAGCACATATAGACACATCTTCCACCTATCTTTCTCATGTTAATCATCTTGGATCATTAATTTGGGTGCCTTTAACATATATTGGAATGTGAATCTTTTGTCTTGTGCTATCTCTTTTTACCCACCCACATGTGAGATTATCCAGGTGGTTCTTATTTAATTGTTGGTCCCTGCTCTCCTACYATTGCACATAATTTAGCTTTTGCTGTTTGTTTTATACGTCTCAATATTTCCTAAGTCTTATCCTTGAAATACTTACAGATATTAATCTTTTATTATTTTTTCTTCTTGTGTATAAATCCTGCAAATCCGCTTAAAGGGACATTTTATTTTTTTTGTAAATTTTTCTATTGTTCCTGAACTATTGCATGTCTTTGGTTCTTCATTTCTTTCTCGAATTTAAACATGTTTTCATATTGCTTTACCATTTAACAGACAATAGAGAGCAGCCCTTGGGAAAACAGTGAAAGCGAGGCTATTAACTTTTCACAGTTGGTATGTTTCTGAACCTCATGTTAGACTTGTTTCCCGTGTTATTGCTATCAACAAGGGGCTTGTAATTAATTGCAAAGTTCTTCAGCTGAATTTATTTTTATTTGTTTACTAGACGATCTGGTAAATTTGGCTCCATACCACCTCTTTTACGCATCCATTGATGCAGAAAAATGTCTCCTGTTTTGGTTTAAATTCTTCTATTTCACTTTGAATTGCAGAAACCTCTTAGATATGGCAGGTTCTGAGAGCTCCAAGGCTGAAACCACTGGTGTTTGTCAAAAAGAAGGGTCCTACATTAATAAAATTCTGCTCACTCTTGAACTGTGAGTCATCAATCATTGCCATTATTTTATCAGTGTAATATTACTCTACAAATGTTCACTTGTAGTCGTGCTACTATTTGTTATTTAACTCATCCATCTGCAGCAAATTCTTTAATGTTTCTATGATGAAAAAGAGAAACATGTGCCACCCTGACTAGCTTATACCTTTTTAATAATAACGTCGTACTTCTACCAAGGGACTTTGATCACTATATTAGAAGTCCTCGTTGCAACAATTTCCTAGAAATAGGTGTCACCATGACTACCTTTTGATTTATTTGTTGTAATTGATCTTGTCTGGCCTATTCCGTAGCATTAAAGCTGAGGTTGTTGTTCTTGTTGGAGATTGATTGTTTCACCAGCTTAATCATTTAAATGAGGTGGTGACTAAACATGCACGACGTAAAGCTCTTCACAAATTACAGAACTCTAGATAAAGATCGAAAAACACCAACACCCAACTAACATTACCTTTTTTAGAGTATATTGGGCCTTAAGGATCATGATGTTATTTTGTTTTTGCTTTATATAGATTTTATATTCTATTAATTGGAGCTTTTTTTTACTAACTTGGAGCTATCATAGGTCATATCGGAATTAACAGATGGGAGAGAAATTCCCACATACCATATAAGGAGTCAAAATTGACCATGCTTCTTCAATATTTCTTAAGTGGTCATAGAAGAGTATTCGTAAGTCTTATACCTGAGTTTCAATTTATCTAAAAAGCATGTCCCGTCGTCTGACCATAAAATTCATTGAGAAAGTATTATTTGCCCTTCTATTGGTGGTATGAAGGTATTCTATTATTCATCCAGTTCTTTTGTATTTGTTTGATGCGTAAACCTAGAAGATGGTCAAGTCAAGCTACAGTCAAGACCGGAGGAAGAAGAAGAAGTTAAAGCTGCTTTGTTAAGCCAAATACAGAGATTGACAAAGAGGACATTCCTTTGGGGAAGAAGAGGTCAGGTTGCATTAACTGTTGTTTTCCTCTTGTTTCTTTGAGTTTGTGATATTGCATTTAGTTGTATATGCAAATATTCTAATATAATTCTTTATATTTGTTTCAAGCATATATCTGTAATTGTATACTAAGGGGCCATTTACTAAACACTTACCGGTAAGTGCTTACTGGATAAATTTCTTCATTGGATGAACATAAGAAGGGCCAAGAATCTTACTGGATAAGAGCGATGAGAAGGATGAAGAGTCTTACCTGTTAAATGAGGATGACTACTCTTACCCAGTAAATTGTTGCATTCGATATGTTTTGATATACTAAAATCTTACGCATCAAAATTAATCATAGTGTTGACTTCTATCGGTGACCGCTTACCGGGTAAGAATTGGGTGGACGACCCTAAGTTTATTATTCATCTGGTTGAACCGACATCATATTTGGAGGTATTTATCCTTGATGCGTTTGAGTACTAAACTGAGATTAAATTGATCAACTTGTGACTGGCAGGGGATTTTGTTTCTCAAGTAAATTGTGATGAGAAGGATATTGAAATCTGAAGACGATTTTGCTATGCTATATGGATGGAGTTGTACATGATACAACGAATTCAAGATGTGGTAGAGAGATAAGGATACAAAAGCATAACACATCATCAAGTAGTTCTCTAATACCAACAAATCGTTGTGCCAAACTGCAGGTTGAAGTTGCGGTCTCAGGCTGATTAATACCACTTAGATGTTTCTTGTAATTTACTCTCTGATTATTTAAGGGTCAATTTGATACACTAGATAAGATGGATATTTGCTATTAATGTTTGTGCATGATAAAATAACAATATTGTTATTATTGGGTCATTTATCTTATATGGCAAAAAGTGAGTGTTGTACCGATTAAGAGCAATGATAAGGATGGACTCTTACCCGTCAAGCATTTACTAATTAAATTGTTGTGTTCAATACTGACTTGATGGATTACAACCTTACTTGATAAAGTAAGTTCGAGTGTTGTTTTTTAGAGGTAAATATTTTGGTAAATGACCCTTACATGTGTTGGTTATTTCCAGATCTTAGTACTGTTGTTGGCTTTGAACTGAAAACCTAAAGTATTGTTGATGGATTTAATGATGTTTGTAGGTGTTATATATATGAAACCCAAGACATTTTTGTGGTTTATGAAATGTTTCCATATACATATGTATATTTGACAGTCATGGAATAAGTGTTTGATTAAATCATATCACTAATTTTTGTTGGGTGTTGTGTTGAATTAAGTCTCTTTTTGTATTGGATTTTGAAAGATGTGTTAGGGTGTCCAGTTAACTCTCATTTAAAACATATTCCTCATTTTGTTTAATGATGATGTTGACACATTCTTTTTGTAAAACTAGGTCTTGTGTGATCTTGTAATTGTTAATCATGTTGCATAAAAATTCATTTAGGATTAGGAATGACCCAAAAAAATATTTAAAATATTATACCTTCAATGCTTGTAACTTATTTTGGATATATTGCCTTAGAAATGATTGTTGATAAGATTTATTGTTCAACAAGATGATGGTCATTTTGAATCTTATTCCTTACACATATAATTAAAATTATAAAGGTGTTTGTTATTATACACGATTCACATAAAAGATTTGTTTTTACAGATGATTGCAGAAGCTACTAATACTAGCATTTCACATGGATGGTTATTTAAATCTAACGTAGGTACAAATGTTATAGGCTTATGATATTGTGAAAGAATTTGATATTTTAAAATTGAATAAATCTTAATAAACTTATTAAATCCCGCCGCATTGCGCGGGTACACAACTAGTATTTCAAAAAAGAACAAGAATATGATTAAAAAAATATTGAAATTGCTAATAACGTATTCAAATTTTCTTTATTATATAAGAAAGCGAAAAGAGACGAGGATGACTTGATGAAGACGATCAAAGGTCGAAAGAAAGATGGTGTGTAATATATTGGTCAATGCAACATGTGATGTATCATATATAATTACGTGTATGTATTACACATAATCGTATATAATTTTAAAACTCGTCATCTTGTTGTAAATTAATTAACTCTTTATATGATTTTTCATACACACACACACACACACACATATATATACATATATATATATATATAGGTGGAGGTTCAAACGAGAACACCTCCATTTTATGAGAACGCGAAAACATCCTTATCACATGTGATAATATGTGTGAGGGGATTGGTGGTATGCAGAAGGAGTGTTCTACGACTTAGGGCATACCAAATGTTGTCTGCGTCTATGATTTAGCATCACATGTGATGATTTTGATGGATTATAGTATCATATCAACAACACCATTCTCACATATGATAATACATATGTGAGGGGGCTTAGTGGTATAAGGGCGACTTGGCTCGCAACAAAAAAATCACCCATGTCTCTGATTTAGTATCACATGTGTATCATATGTGATGAAATAATAGTATCACATGTGATTGTTTATTGTAAAAGGGTGTTTTCGCGTTTTCGTAAAATAAATGTGTTTTCGTTTGAACCCTTCCTTATATATATATATATATATATAGAGAGAGAGAGAGAGAGAGAGAGAGAGAGAGAGAGAGGACGTTTCAAATGCAACCCATAACATTTGTATAACCAATGCAACCCAATTAATTGAAATATTTATGGAAATGATGAGAGTTCATTTATTATAATTTAAATATTTATGTAAGATTACTAAAGTTCATTAATTATGATCAAAACTTTATATAAAATAATCAAAATTTTAGGAAATCACATATTCATCAAAGTCAATTGACGGTTGAGATTGAGTTGTATTTGTTGAACAAATGTAAAATGTTGTATAATAACTCACATTTCTCTCTCTCTCTCTCTCTCTCTATATATATATATATATATATATATATATATATATTAGAACATAACAAATATGAACGTAGGTGGAGGTACCAGCGGGTTGGATGTTCCTTTCATGGGATTTTCTGTTATCCCCATTTATGTAAACGCTAAAAAACACTTTCTTCCTCCTATTCAAAATATGGTTTTTTTATATATTATAAATTAATATAAATATTAGAAGATCAAGGTTTATTAAAAGTTTTAATATTCAAATTATTATTTTTTCATTACCCACGTAAATAAATCGTTTGTTTTGGTTGCAAGAGAATTAATAATATTAAACACTTGACAAAAAAAATCAAATCATTTATAAATTATATATCAAATTAAACGTTATAATTTTTGTAATTCATTATTTACTGAAACAACCACAAAAATTAATTAAAAATAACAAAACCATTATAACTCAAAGTAGAAAAATATCCAATTTTGGTAACTTAGAAACCATGTTCCATGTTTTCTTTCTTTTCTTTTATACACAATTATTAAAAACATAATTTTAAACAAATTAAATCATTCAACTTTTATTTACTGGTATGAAAATTCGAAAAATACGTGTTAAGATGGTTAGAATCCATTATAACACAATATATTCTTTGAAAGTAAAATAGTAAATTACATTTAGTATTGGGTTTAATTAAAGAAATAAAAATACTATTTAAACTTAAATTTAAAGAATAATTCAACCAATAAATAACCAAAAGCTGACTGAAAAGGCCACCGGATATCAATATTGTTTATACGAGAATAAAATTAATATCTCATAGATGTTGCCGATCGAATGATAATCAAAATAATTAATAAATAACTTGTCTATTATTTATAATTATGACTTTGGTTGATTTCCAGTTCGTCCAAATTATTGTGTGTAACAAGAGCCACAATAAGATGAAATCGATATATAATCGACTAGGATTAGATAGGTAACCCTGTCCACACGATTAATAAATAACCAAAAAATAATAAAAACTAGAGAATTATTTGTTATTTAGAAATTAAGTGCTGTGATTCACAATAAAGATTTCTTTTTTCCTCTTGGAATCAGAATCTTCCACCCGGTATCCATCAACTTTTATCCTTTTGCCTTGAATTCCGAGATTGATTCTAAAGGAACTTACCAAAAAGCAAGCATACCCACTACTCCGGTAACAACCAGAAGCGACGGAGCCACCCACACCCGATGGTCGGCAGATGAGGCGTATGGGTTGATGGGATACAGATTCCCTGGTGGACCATTTATGTAAATGTATGATGAGGGCGGTGGAGGGCAGTTGAGACCCGGAGTTGGAGATGGCTTCTTGGGTGGTGGTGGTGACGGTGGCGGTGGAGGAGGACTCGTGTTGCAAGGGTTGTTGCAAGGACAACCACCGCACTTGATTTGATGGTCGTCGGTTGATCCACCAATGGCTGTGTCGGTGGAGGTGGTCTGGTCAAGCTTCCTCGGGTTCATTGCTTTGATTGGAGCCAGCACGACGACAGCTAAAATGAGAAGCAAGATCGGAGATATCGACATGGCCGGCGGAGGGCGGTGGGGGTGATTTCGTTTTCAGGGTGGGAAGTGGTGGTTATGAAGAGAAGGCGAAAGAGGAAAGAGAATGCAAACAAGTGGTTTATTTAGTAAGAGGTGGTGGTAGCTGTGCATGGAGGAAAGATGTTGAAGGTCATGGTTATTTTTCTAAAGTAATAATATGATAATTTATAATCATATAATTAATATTTACCACTTTTAATTGAAACTAATTCATAATGCGTATATAATGATACAAACTTCGAATTGGGTTGGCTTAATTTAGAAGGCATCTCACCAATGATGCATGTGGGATGGCCCCACTTTAATTTCCATGTCTTATTAAAGGTATCGTTTCATGCACATTTTTTTATAATTTTATAATTAGATTAAATGATGTATTGAAAATATAAAAAAATAATTTTTGATGTTGATAAGTACGAGAAAAAATTAATAGATATAAATGTATTTATTAATATATAAGAATGCATTTAGCCAACAATTTTTTATTAACCTTGTCAAGTTGATTATTTTATTTTATTTTAAGTATGCATTAAGCGGTGTTGTTATATTATAGTTCTACAAAATATATAGAGGGCAATTGTGTAATTTTATTTTTTGTTGAAGTAGGTGGTATTTCGTTTGTAACTATGTTAGTTTGTTAACAACATGTATTTATACGCCTCTTTTCTTCAATTAATCAATAATCGTTTTTCTCCTCCAAATTCGTTGTATGTGATATGGTATCACAACGGTGCTATTGTTGCATTTAGTATCTTCGTTCATCTCCATTGTTCCCAATAAATCATCTAAGAAATATCAAACATGCCTGAATCGACTACAACATTGTTTCCGTCGTAGACGTCACGTTTCATCCCTATTTCTTACATCATTTCGACAGTCTTGGTTAGATTTTGGTTTCTCAACCTCTTACTAGTGACAACTATTCAGCATGGAGACGTACAATGCTAATTGCACTTGTTGCAAAAAAGGTCGGTTTTGTCGACGTATCTTTGAACAAACCTGAAGGAACAAATTAGATGATGATAATTAATGTCTTGTTATGTAATAACAACATCATCATGTATTGGCTTGAAACTCTGTACCAAAAGAAATTGTGGGCCAACATTATGTTTGCAGAAACAACTTTAGAGATTTGGATCGATCTTAGTGATCGATTCAGTAACGGTCCGAAAATCGTTTCTATAAAGCGTGAAATCACTAATCTGGAATAACAACAGGAATGAATCGGTGTTTAATTCACAAAATGAAAATCTCTTACTGAAGAGTTGAATCAATGTGATATCTTAAGTATTTGAACGTTTTTAAACGATAAAATCAATAAAATGTGTGTAAAAGAAAATTCAAATAATATATGAGGATTATTTATTTATCTATACTATATTATAAAATATTTGACAAAAAATCTTAAAAATCATTTTTTATGCATGAAGTACTGTTTATTGATGCACATTACTTAAAATTCAAGATTACAGTAAATTGTGCGTAAGTACAACATATTAAAGTTTTATGTTTGAATTTGTGTAACTAATTGTAGATAAACATAATCAAATAGACGATAAACATCTCATTTTAAATATAAAAAATAAAAAATATAATTAAGATAATCATTGAGTTCTAACAAAATACTTAATTTTTATCTCTATAAAAAATTATATTATTAAATAAAAAATAAAAAGATGAATTAAAAAATATACCTAAAAACAAGAATTTTTAAATAGTTAGTTTAGTACTAATATCAATATCCCCCCCCCCAACTTTTTATTGATATCTTCATATTTTTATTCAAAAATAAAAACATTATCGCTTTCTCAAAAACACATAAAACTGTATTACAACATCGACAGAGACAAAAAAAAACGAAACAGTAAAATCGAGATGTATCTCGCTGTATTTTACGATTACCCTTCTAGTAATCATATAATAAAAAAAACACATCAAAAATGTCAAAAGCATGTGAGTAAGATGAGTTGAGGCTAAAAGTTAGGCTTTAAAATGACATGATCCTTCTATTCCTCGTTCAACATTAAGGTTAATTAAGCTATTAATTGATGGGAACCTAGAAATGCATTGGTTATAATGATTTAACGTCCTACATAAATCAGTTAGATCAAGATATGATACGATATAAATAATATTTGTTTTAAATTAAAAAGAAGTATTGCATGTTATTATTATATTTTATTAATCCTAGATCCACAATATAGATCATATTTATGTACATCTTGTCTTGCAAGTGAAGATAAAGTAATCAATCAAACAAGCCATCATTCATTTTAGTGCATTTAGTCGGTGACATAATTATCATATATTTTAAGGTGACATATTTTGAGTCATTTAGTTTTATATTATTTATTCACTAAATTTATAGTGCTTTTAATCGATGACTTGCATGATCAATTTGCTTCAAATGAGAAATACGATGAGAATTTATATAGTCATTTTGACCTTTTACACATCCATGTGTCATTGTTTGTGAAATTTGCAACAAAATATACGGGAATTTGAAAAAGATAATAATTGGTTAAAATTATGCTAAAAAATCTGACTAACCATTATCTGGATTCTCCAAGCTATCACACGTTCCTAACAAAAATCGATAGATTAACCCATTATCTCCACCAAAAAGAAGTTGGGTTGCAGCAAGCAACATCAAGAAAAGGAACATGGTCGTAATTATACAACCCTAGTAAGCTATGGTGGTACATGCCTAATTTGTGCATGACCAATAATACCAATTTTAACAAAAATATATTTTGATATTAAATTGAACAGATTCATTTACAAATTGAAAAATAACATTCGTAAAATAGAGTTCCAAGTTCCAACAGGATCATATCGAAATGTCTTGATATCAAAACTAGTATTTTAACATAATTTATACAGGATTCTATCAATCAAATATGGCTCTGTTAACAGGGTAGGAGGGGTTCAAATGACCTAGTTTCTCGAGCATCTTTTTCTTATCCTTTATTTTATTGATCCTATTATAACTTTTTATACCGATTATATATATATATATATATATATAATGGAAATAGGGTATTATATATAACATGGAATCAACTTGAATTGAAGACTAGAAACAAAAAGTTGGGTTGGACAAGAGATAATTGAAAAGAGTCCAATCTAGTGATCATGATGAAGGGGGGGGGGACAATCAATAACAAACCTCCACCATGGCCCCTCCTACTCTTGTTTCTTTCACCTTTTTTTAAGTTTGTTCTTAGTTTATTCATCAATTCCAACAATCATTTCTATTTCAACTTCTTCCCTACCTAAAAACTTTCTCAATTAAATTTTAGGAACTGTTTATTAAACGCTTACCTGATAAGTACTTAACATGACAAAATATCTTAGTGGATGAATGTGGTAAGGGTCGAGAATCTTACCTGGTAAGAACGATGAAAATGATGGAGAGTCTTACCCGGTAAGTGATGACAACTACTCGTACCCGAAAAGTGTTTAACAGGTAAATTGTTGCATGCGATACTGTTTTGATGGACTACAATATTATCTTATCAAGTAAGCTAGAGTATTGAATCTTACCGCAAAACACTTACTGGGTAAACGTTTAGGTTAAAGTCCCCTTACTCTCTTTCTCATTAAAATCACTTCAAAGTTTTTGATTTTGAATTATATACTCTTGAATTATATAGATTTTAACCGGTGAAAATTTATGATTCATTTGCATAACTTAGGATATATGATATATTTAGTATGTGTAGATGAAAGAAATAGTATTCAAGTAAAGTATGAAATTTAAGATAACAATTATAAAATAAATCAAATCCAAAGCAGGATAATGTATTTTTTTAAATAAGAAACTGTTTCTTTCTCTTGATTGTTGATCTTAGAATATGTATGTAAGTGATCAGTGAACAACTACAATTTAAATTGTGATCCGTTTTATTACATATAATGTTATCTGAACGGAAGCACCGACTATTAACTATCATATTGCTTAAGTTTATGGATTTCATGGGGGTTGAATTGAGATGCACGGTGATATTTTGTTTTCAATGTCAACGAAAATAAAAACCAAACCAAATGAATCCGATAAATTTTAATTAAAAGTAGGGTATATGTGATAGATATGTGTATGCGTTATTTTAACCTAAAAGATAGAGATGTTGTTTTGGTAAAAACATCTGACTTGCAAAACAAACAACTAGAAAAACAAAGGAAACTCATCGATTGTTTGATTGGTTTCATTAAGTATTTTATGAATAAAGTTGTTTGTATAGATTGTGAATGTTTATGTTTAAAAGATTTTTTCATAGATGGAAGTTTAATGTTTTTTAGCTGAGAGGAGTATGTTTGAGAAAAATTTGACGTTCTGCATAAAATTTTCCCTAAAAATTTATTGAATAAGTCACTTTCTATATCATTAAGACTATGTTTGACAAATAGTAACTAATAAGCTAGCCGATGAACAATTTATGTTTGACAAAACTATCTGATAAGAATGTAAAATAACTAAGAAAGATATCTTAAAAAATTAATCATTATAATAGTTCAAAATATAATTGAAATAAATTTTTAATAATATAATATATTAATTAATACAAACAAGATGGTAAAACAAATTAAAAAATATAATAAAATAGATATCAAATT